GGGCCGCCCTGGCTGGCCTCGGCCGTGAGGGACGGCATGAGGGACGGCATCCCTTCGTGCTCCGGCCCCGAGGCCGCACAGCCCACGCCGTTCTCCATCCTGGACCTCTTCTCGGGGGACGGCTGTCCCAGCACCTTCCGTTTCAACTTCCTTTCCTTCCCGCACGGGTCGGCCTCCTCGCCGGCGGCGCCGCTGCTACCGTCTAAGGAAGACGACTCGGGGCTCTGCGCGTCCACGGGAGGCTCGAAGGACGACATCTTGATCATTTCTAAGGAGATATCCTTTGTCTTGCTGCGCCTTCCCTTGCCTTTTGGAGATTTTTCTGCCTCCTTCTTAACTTCCTCCCCTTGGTTTCCAAAGAGCTGCACCATCTGTTCGTTCTCTCCACCCTCCAGCTGCAGGGTTTCTAAAGGCTGGGCTGCGGTTCTATCGTTTTCTTTTAGCACATATCCAGCTAGCTTTGGGTTTTCTTCATCTAGTTTGTCATCATTTAAATTTTCATCTTTTTCTAATTCTTCTTTACTATCAGGAAAAAGTTCTTCATTGAGCAAACTCTTTTCTAGAGGGTCTTCTGTTTCACTATCAGAAGAGCAAGAGTCTGCAAAAGGAAATACTGCATTAGGCTTTTATCGTCATTATTAATTTTATAATAAAATCTTATGATGTTGTCTTGATAATATCACTTATAAAAAATTCCTCTTAATCTTGTGTCTCTGAATAATCCCTATACAAGCTGGGAGTGGTGGTTCATACTTGTAATCCCAGCACTCGGGAGGCTGAAGCAGGTGGATCCCAGTGAATTGTAGTCTGGCCTACATAGTAAGTTCAAAGCCAGCCTGAACTAAATAGTGAGACTGTGTATCAGAAACAAAATCAAGCCGGACGTGGTGGCACATGGCTGTAATCCCAGCACTTGGGAGGCTGAGGCAGGAGGATCGCTGTGCGTTTGAGACCAGCCTGAGTTCCAGGTCAGCCTCAACTACATAGTGAGACCCTGTCTCAAAAAACTGAAAAAAAAAAAAAAAGTCCCAATGCACAGTTCCTATTTAGGGGATTTAGCTCAGTGGTGCCAGAACCTGCCTCATAAGTGCAAGGACCTGAGTTCAATTCTCAGTATCAAATTTCCTACATAAAATAAATCATGTCAGGCCTGGTGCTGCATGCCTGTGGTCCCAGCACTCAGGAGGCTGAGGCAGGAGGATCGCTGTGAGTTTAGGACCAGCTTGGCTACATAGTGAGTTCCAGGTCAGTCTCAACTACAGTGAAACCCTGTCTCAAAAAAAACAAAAAAACCAAAAAAAACAACAACAAAAAAACAAAAACCAAAACAAAACAAAATCATGACATTTGTATCAAAACTTTAGGAAGAATTTAAAAGTAAAATGTATGAAAATGTATTACACAGAATATTCAATTCTGTATAATATTCCGTGTAAGTAGCTACTTTGTAATCTTCGTTAGTATTATATTTTGACCACAGCATGGCACATTAAAAAAAAAAAAAAAATCAAAGGACTACTAATGAAACATGAATATCTTAAATGGTTTGACCTTAGATCTAGTAGATACTGATTAATATGTATGATGGTCACTTTGTGTCCTAAGAAAGGAATATAATATTTCACTTAATTATGAAAAGAAACATTAAAATGAGCAACACGGATTCTCAAAACTTTAAATATTTTTCTTATTAACAGACCTTAAAGTCCAGGCTAGCCACCTGCTTGCAAAAGAAATCATTCCCTTTAGGTTAATTTTTTAAATAATAAAGTAAGAGCCCAAGACCGCATAAGAACTGTGAAATGTAGACAATCTCCCCATATCATGCTCATATACTGAAGTTCAAAAAGGCAAACGCCAAACGTATTTTCCAAGTGAAAAGTGGATAAATTTTTATTTTGTGGTTGTCATAAAGAAAACTCATTTTTCTCATGTTAAAAATGAACTCTGGGGCCAGGGATTTAGCTCAGTGGTTTCACCGCCTGCCTTACAAGAGCAATGACCCGAGTTCGATCCCCGGTACCAAAAAAAAAAAAAAACTTTCATGAAGTAGTTCAATAAGGCTGCTGCAGTCATCAGCACCACACGCCAACCAACCGAGCCGTGCACCGAGCCTGCCATGTTTAGCCGCACAATTTGTACCCTGCACAAGGACAAGCCACCTAGGAGTATCTGCCAACTTCTGTGCCTCTCTGTATTATGGCAACATTCCAGCAGGTGGCAGTAAAGAGAAGCAATGCCTGCTGGTAACCCATACCCAGTACTCGGTAGATGAATTACTGCAGACCTGTGGTTCAGCACAGCACTTCCCTTGAGGAAAGGGATGTTGTACACGATGACCACTTAAAATGTCTTAAATTACAAAGGCAGAAAATAACAAAAGCAGATAATAATAAAAATAATAAAATAATTTTCATCCATACTCATCACAAAACGTGCCTATACCGTCATGCATGGTGGCACACACCTGTGATCTCAGCACTTGGGAGGCTGAGGCAGGAGGGCTGCCATGAGTTTGAGGCCAGCATGGGTTGCATAGTGAGTTCAAGGCCCGGCTGGAGTACATAACAAAACCCCAACTCACAAAATAAAAACAAAACAAAACAAAACAAAATATACCTATACAAGCTTTGTCGACAGTTCTTAGAAGAGCTCTCAATGTACAGGAGATATTGTTGCATGCTTCAAAGGAAAATAAAGCATACAGTATTTGACCATGCGGTAGCACTTGGCCCACTATTAAAATGGAATATTTCTAAGCTATTTATAAGAAAAGATATCCAAGGTTAAGATATTCCTAAATTTTAAACTTAAAAATACAGCAAAATAAGCTTGGGCTTCAAGTTAGATTTTAGTTTAAGTCATACGAGATGAAAACCCGGGTGAGGCGCTAAGAGCTTCCACACTGCAGCTGCATGGCCAGGCGTGACACAGCGACGTTCCGGGTGGTGCCAGCCATGCGCACGCGTGGTGCCTGCACAAGGACCACGCACTCCTCAGAACGCGTGCGCTGTTAAGTGGCGCACGACCACTTTTTTTTTTTTTTGTGCTACCGGGGAATCGAACTTAGGTCCTTGCACTTGCGAAGCAGGCAGTGGAGCCGCTGAGCTAAATCCCCGGCCTTATTTCTGGCTCTCAGGTACTGGGTGACCCTCGAAGTCAAGCACCCTCCACCCCGACTGGCAGAGGGGAGCAGCAGCGATACCTGATTTCCCGTCACCGTGGGCCGCTGTGGGCAGGCCAAAGGGAGGGCCCGAGGGCAGGCTGGATCGCAGGGGGGGCCGCCCCCGCTTCGTCCTCTGCCTCTCTTCCTCTCTCTTCTCGTCCTTCTCACTATCTTCTTTATTCTGGGTAACAATGAGGAAATGTGTGAGAAAGGCCAGGCTTAGGGAAAACAAACATTCTACTTCTCCCAGGAAAACCATAATTCACACGCACGCGGTCAGTAGCTGTATGTTGACTCCTAATTTGTGCTTACAGAAAACTTAAGAAGACTTCGTTAAGAAGACCTAGGGAGGTAACTCTGATTCTGTACAGTCTAGAACACTGCAATTACCTTGCAGTGCTGGGCCCTTCCCAGCCCCTTCTGTCTGCTGGAGCTACAGAAGCTGCCAGCAGGGCAGCACACGCCTGGAAACCCAGCACTCGGGAAGCTGAGGCAGGAGGATCGCTGTGAGTTTGAGACCAGCCTGGGCTACACAGTGAGTTCCAGGTTAGGCTCGACTACATAGTGAGACCCTGTCTCAAAAAACCAAAGCAATAGAAAAGAGAAGCTGCCAAAGACAAGGACCAGGCAAACCTACAGCACAGAGGCAGGAGCCTGAGGGTGCAGGTAAGGCTGTAAGTGCCCAGCACACGTGTTTACAATTTTACTCTTTGCTCCCAACATTTAAATCAGATTTCATTTATTTTTCTTGGGTGGTACTGGGGATTGAACTCAGGATCTTGCTCTTGCCAAGCAGGCATTACACCACTGAGCTACAACCTTGGCCCAGATTTCAGATTTTTAAAAACATGGTCAGGGACCAGGGATGTAGCTCAGTGGTTTCGCCGCCTGCCTTGCAAGCTCAAGGGTCCAAGTTCGATCCCCAGGGCCAAAATAAATAAAAAACAAATAAAAACCAAAAAAAAAAAAAATGGTTGGGGTCTCCAGGTCGTCAAATTCAGCAACCCCTGGGCAGCACCCCAGCAGCAGAGAAGTGGTTTACAACATCCCTACTGAGAACCGAGCACCCTGTTCCGCGCTACCAGTCCGACTTCACCCTTTTCCTATGAAGAAAGGCTCTATGGGCACAAGTTTGAAACCCAGGCCCCCTGAGTTGCTGGTTATCAACTCTTCATAGAGTGACGCGCAATTGTGTTTAAAATTTATAGTTTATTAGCTCCCGAGTTAAGAAGAGAAACTATTTTATTGAGATGATTACTACAGTGAAAAGGTAAGATCTCTAAAAAAACACTACCACAGCTCACTTCTCAGGAGAGGAACCAACTGGAAAAGCTAGAAGCCAAATGACCAATGAAGACAAACTACAGAGGAAACAAAGTATCAGTGGCGCGCGTGATGAGAGGTGGGGAGAAGACCTGGCCGGGCACAGGGTATTCACGCGATGGACCTGCTCGCACGATACCAGGACGCGGGCACCTGTCCACCTCGCGGAAGGGCCACTCCTACTGCTGTGTCGCATGGCTCAGGGTGCACGGACCCCACGTAAACCCCGTGTCAACAGAGGGTCGTTTCTTTTGTTAACGAATGCAGCACTCCGTGGGGGTTGGCAATGCGCGAGGGACAGGACATCTCAGGGTCTGCTTCCCGGGGACCCTCTAACTGCCCGTCCTACAGAAAACATCCAATTGGAATAATCCTATGCCCAGCCAAAGGAACATGAACCTGTAAAGATACCTTAGCTTTCTTCTTCTGTTTTTTCTTTGGTCCACCTTTGTCCAAAGGCCAGATAATCCTGTCAGCCTTCACCCACTCATCATACCTTCAAAACAAAAGATTAACATTTCACAGCAACACCCTGGTTGACATATATTCACCAGACAAAAACAACAGTGAGATAAAGAATCCATTTCTAGGACTGGCAGGGGTGGGAAAGACGTGGGGCGGGTGTCCAGGGGACCTGTGTCGCGGCTATGCTGGTCACCCGCGAGTCTGCATTCCCTAACAGTCGACAGCTTCAGAGGGAGGTGCGGGCAACTCATGCCGAGGAAGAGCCACAGCTATTCGCATCTGTAGGTTTTCCACAATTTCCACAGATGTGACATTGTAGGCATATTCCATACTGCTTTTTATTCCATTAATGAATAAAGATAAATTAGGTACATCCAAATTTGCCACGTGATTGGTTCCAGATTATCTTAGCAAATCATTTGTAAGTTCTCTTTTCCTCCCAAGAACTCTCTAGCTTCTAGTATTTCTAATAAAAATTTTGTTCTGAACTGTGTCACCTTTAAGGCTCTGAACTTTTTAAGAGATACATGATCTTCTTTATGTAAGTTTGTTATGTTTAGCTCAAGTTGAAGACTCATTTCCTCTGTACCTTTTTCCAAAAAGACTGACATCACTCTTGAATTTCACCTTACTGGTCCAAGTTACTAGACTGAGACAAGTAATTAAACGTCCTAAAAATACTAGAAATAAATCACTTTTTTTTTCTTTTTGGTTTTTGAGACTGGGTCTCACTATGCATCTCGGGCTGGCTTCAAATTCTCACCAATCCTCCTGCCTCAGCCTCTGGAGTGCTAGAATTATAGGCATACACCACCACACACAGCTCTACATCACAATTCTTATATGTAGCATGCAGTTGTATAGGAATTTACAGCATTCAATCAAAATCTAAGATCTGAATACTTAAGTAATAAAACTACAGGCAGTCCTCACATTAAAGTGTATCCAGCTGAGGGATTTAGTTCAGTGGTTCTGCCGCCTGCTTTGCAAGGGCAAAGACCTGAGTTCAATCCCCGGTACCAAAAAAATTAAAAAAACCCAAGAAACAACGTGTACCAAGCTGACAAACTCATGTGTCTGGGAACTATAAGTTTACTTTACAAACCAGATACCATGGAAACATGCAAAGTAAGGCCACAATGGCAATTTGCACAAGTTTCAGCGGCGATGGTACCATGATATCTACATACGGTTTGAGAATGCTGGGTTAATCCAATATCTAAAGTTCTTTTTCTTTTTTGAAATATGTAAAGCTTTTGAAACAGGACTGGCTCTAGCACCGGACTGCACTTTATTTGGGAAGAGTCAGCCTGGTAAACCTGGTAAGAGGTATGCACCGATCCAGAGGTAACAGGTTAACTGTTCAGTTCGCCAATCTCCCAGGGCCAGGACTGATCAGGGATAACTCGGCCCAGAGCACACTGACGCAGTCCAAGCGACACATCCTGGGGTACTGCTAACACCAGCAGTCGTCCCGGGACTCCCCTCACACTTCGGGGCTGGCGTTTTAGATCCGAACACCTTCGGAAAGCAGGCGCTGCATCTCAATGGGCAGAGCAGCTTCCAGGCTCACGGAAGGCTGGGGAAAGCATGTGAGGAAGCAGCGGGGGACTCGGGAGGAAGACAATGAGACTGAGCAGGTCGTGAAACGACCACTGATCGGGGCACGGCAAGATTAAAAAGATGAGCAAGGACAGGCAGGGAAACTTCCAGGAAGCAGAACTGAGACACTCAAAGAGGGTAAGGGGGGGGGATCGGATCTGAGAAGAGAAGGCAGCTAGCTACACAGTGCTGCAACTGCTAATACAGTGAGCCACAGCAAGGAGGAGTCCTTCCTCCCTAAATTCAACAACATGTGGGCAAGAGAACGGAAAACGGACCAATGCATAATCTAGGTATTAAGTCCATTACCTTTAAAATGATGCCAAATTAAGCAAAAAACAAAACAAAACCCAACAGTAAGCTCTCTACAGGTTAACATCGGCATTACTGTTCTTTTCCAACTTTTCTACAAACAGGCACTTTATTCTCCCCAATTCGGTGATGAAGGAATTGAGACACCATGGAACATATATCTCGGCTGTGCAGAAACCTGGAGCAGTAACGAGCAGAACCAGGGAACAGCGAAACTTCCAACACACACGATTCTCTAAGGGGAAGAAGAGCAGCCCTTGACTTTCAGGACTCGGCTTGGCATCACACTGGGTCTTAGGGTGTATTTCTAGATGCCCCCCAAAGTCGCATGTGCTTGGGAGAGGGGGCTGGGGAAGTGACCGGATGATGGCGCCTCCGATACTGGATGAGTCTCCTCATGAGTTTACAGCTCTGTGTGATTTGGAGGCTAAGCCCGGCTGGCGGAGGTGATCACTGGAGGTAGGCCTGGAAGGGTGTGTCTCCCTCCTCCTCCCTTGATCCCTGTGCTTCCTCTCTGCCTCGCCAGGTTCCTCTGCCCTGCCTCGGAGCCAGCTGACTAGGGACTGCAACCCCTACAAACTATGGAGCCAAAATAAACCGCTCCTGCTTTTACTTGTGGGTGCTGGTTATTCTGTCCCAGCAGTGAGGAACTAATATACTACTGGGCATTGGTGTCGCTACGAGTGCTTCGATTTCACAGAACATTAATAATGGCAGAGAAGTCTATTCCGTGCTTGTGCCTAGGATAGGTTAAAAAAAAAAAAAAAGGCAGGTGGACTGGTGCACGCCTGTAACCCCAGCACTTGGGAGGGGAGGACTGTGCCAAATTCAGAGGCCAGCCTGGCCTACATGGCAAGTTAAAGAAAGGCCAGCCTGAACTACACAGGAAACCCTGTCCCCAAACACAAACATACAAACGGGAAAAAACAAAAACAAATGCAAATACAGCTGAGGGATGGAGCTCCTAGGTTCTCTCCCAGCCCTGCAGAGCAAAGGGCTGTCCCTAATCATGTCTGAACGTGTGGGGGAGACAGGAAGTGTCCAAGCCACCAAAACGATTATTCTTTTTTACCCCTCACGAGTCACTGTGACTTGTTCGCTAGGTGTAGTGTTGACCCTGATGTAGGCTTTTATCCTCCTTCCAGTAAGACTGCGAAGATCAGCCCAGCTTCCTGACAGCACCCAGGATCAGAGCAGTCTCATCTCCATCCACTTCCCCAAAGTGCCCTAACAAACGACCACAGTGAGGTCCTTTCCAATTCTTCTTCATGAACTCACTGAGCCAGAATTACTGAAACGCGTGACACAGCTTTCCTTCAGAAAGGACCCAGAGCCCGCCTAGCTGAGCGCTCCAGGCGTGACACCGGGCCGCAGGCTGCAGCGGCTTCACAGGACCCGGGGCTCTCTGTCCCCTGCCGCTCGGCACCTCCTAGACGCCCAGCTCCCTGACCTCCCTCACCGTGGACAAGTCATAAACCAGCAGCAAGCCTGGCCGCCTTTCCCCGGAAGCTGACGGAGTGTGGCAAGCGATGCCGATGTCCAAGGCTTGGACGTTCTGCCGGTACCCGCCACACGTACACACCCCATCTACTTCGGCTCTTCACAACTTTCAGCTGATCTTTTCTCAACACTCAACAGTTCCAGTACTAAGGGACTTCTTTCTTGCTTACCTGACATTCCACCCATAATAATGTACCAAGTATAAAACTTCTCCATCATCGATCTCAGTGCTCTTAATGCTGGCTTCGTAGATTTTCTGAGTTTTCCCTCGTCCATACTTCACTTTCACTTTGGTTCCTGTGAGACAGGGTTCCGCGTCGTCCTCGTCTTCCCCTTCAGAGTCACATCTGCTCTCGGTTTCTTCCCTGCAGTAAGTTATAACATTGATAATGCTAATAGCAACTAACTGGAGAAAAACATGACAAACGCTAAAAAGAACCCAAGGTGCAGAATATTCACAACCTAAGCATTACCTTAACAACATGTCAGTGGAGGAGGAGAAGAAGGAGGAGAAGGAGAAGATTTTCATGGACTACTTGGGAATTTATTATGCACTGTACCAAAAGGAATTCCATATTTCATAAAGGCCAATCAATATCCACAGTGAATGATGACATGGAGCCAAACAAGTCACTTTTGATACAGTAAAATGGAACAATATGCTTTGAAAAAGTTTTTGGACTTATACTGAAGAGCCACCTGATATATGAAAATGATGTAAAGGTGTTGCACAACTTCCTACAATGAAATTATATGAAATTTACTTTATATTATTACTTTCTGTCCATTTTAGAATAGCCCTTAGCCTGGTTTCTTTAGTTCCAAAAAATGGACAAGGGCTGTCTACCTTAGTAATCGTGTCTGGCTAGTTTACATGTAAACAACACATGTGTAAAGACGAGGATACTTTTTGACACTGAACAGCACTAATTTGGGTTGATTTCTATTCTTCCACTTTCCTCCCATCAGATCTTCTTTGATTTGATGATAATCAGATATCAAGGAGATTCAGAGAGCTAAGTCCAACAATACTTTTAACATTTTTGCTACAAAACATTCTCCAGGTTGCCTGTGGTTGTGACTCAGCGGTAGTGTGCTTGCCTAAAGAGACCTAAGGGCCTGGGTTCAATCCCCAGTGTGGGACGGTGGAGGAAATTCTCATCTTTGGGGGTATTCAGATGTGAACTGCATCAAAAACCACTCAAGTATTACAAGAGGTTGGCTGGTTGGTCTTTTACACGGTACTGAGGATTTAAGCCAGGGCCTTCACAGTGAGCTACATTCCCATCTCTGTGGTCAGACTTTAAATTTTGAGTGGGAGACTTGTTAAAAGTTGGCTACGCTCAAACCTGAGATTCTCCTGCTTCGGCCTCAAAGCTTAAGAAGAGATATTGTACTCTACAATAAATACAGGGCATAATTTTGTCAGCCCTTAGGGGATACGACTCCAAGAAGCCTTGACAAGCCATTTACAGTGGGAATGCATTCTCTCCCCGTATACCTTCCAATAACTGCCTGGAGGGGTAATGCCAAAACACTACGAGAGGAACTAAAACAGAAATCTCAGTAGTTTCCCACTTCTGTGATTCCTACTTTGGAGTAAGAATGCAGACTGTATTTGCCATTGGTAGACTCCATTTTTACTTAATCAATCAGAATATTATTCTGCATACTTGTCTAGGAATTTTTCTCCAAAGTATAGCTTTGATCCCTTTGCACATCAAGTATAAAGTCCTTTAAAGGCCATGTATTACTCATCTGCACAGATTCACTTTGTTTGATGCTCAACTCCAATTACTGCCTCCCCACTACTTTACCCCTAATGACATTTCACTACAGAACTTCCACCTTTTTACCAATATATTCCATGTCACTCTAGTAACTCCTGCACTAGCTGGCACTGAGACTACGCCCCTCTCCGGCTCACTAATTATTCCAGTTTTTCTAACTACACCTCTCCTGATAGTTAGGTTTCAGCAGGTCAGCTTTCCTACGGGTAGCTTCACAATTCCAACTTCCAGACAGTTTAGCCTCACTTGATAAAATGTAAAGGTGACTAGGGCGGAGAGCTTGTACTTTCAGGGAAGTGTGTTACACTACTATTCCTCATTTAATATTTCACTTTTAGTGTTATCTAAAATTTAGTGAATGCACTGATGACACTTATGGAACGGCCACCTCCAAGCAGGTCAGACGTTACCTTGACCTTGCTGGACCGCCTAACCTTCGGCTACGTTTAAGTCAATTCAGTCCACACATAGGCGGTCTGGGGAAAAACCATTTTCACTCAACAGCAAACATGATGGACGTGAAAAGGCTCAAATTTACTGGTGAGATGTGGGGCAAGAATGTATCTTCCGAACTCGAATCAGGGGTGCATGCTACTTACTCTAACACAGTAACTTGAAAAAGAAAACTGTCTGAGACAAAGCTAACACACAGAAACATCTGCTAGTACTGTGCACCCGTGTCTGTTAGCTTTCCCACATTGTACCTTTTTTAAAATGGAATTTTTGCTGTCGCTGTTTCCTCTTGTCCACTTCCTCCATCTTTCTCCAGCTCCCTTCCCTGCTGTCAACTGCAGGACCTTTCTTTTGACTGGGTGGCGCAGCCTTCTTTGAGGCCACTGTTTAGGGCACAAGTGCTATTAAAATGGTGCGACCGGGGTATTCTCCAATTCCGGAAGGCGATACACATCATCTTCACAATGTGTCTCACCTTCATTAGACAAAGGAACGGAAGTCCCAGTAAGAAAACATTCCCTCAACCCTGAACTTCTAGCAGGAGCGAAGCGCTGTCGTGCCCGAGACAGGTGCCTCTGGAGAACAAGTGTAAGACAATGTACCTCTCTCGGCTCTTCGCTTCTGCACCCTCTCCCTCTGAGTCTCGGTCGGAGCCCTCTTGCTTCCTGACTTTCTTCTCTTTAGGCTTTGGTGTACTTTTTCTCCCCAGTACTAGCCCGTCTTCGTCTTTCTCTGCGGTGTCATAGTCATCTTCTACATCCTTATGTTCCGAATCATTATCTTTGAATTTGTCTTCTGTTTTCTCTTCTTCAGTTTCCTTTTTAATTGAATTTGCATCTCGAGCAATTCTCCTTTGTCCCTAGTGGAGGAGATAAAAATTTGAAAATAGTCATTACTACCAGGGGAGAAAACAAAAAGTGGAAAGACACAGGTTTCCTTTAAACCTTTTGTAAAATGTCCAGTCTGGTCTCTGGCTTGAGACAAGACCCTGAAAACCAAGAGATCGACACGTACTTTCTTTTTTTTCGTGGGGGGGGGTGTCAGGGATCGAACTTGGGACCTTGCACTTGGTGAGGCAGGTGCTACTTCTTTTTTGAAAGAATGAACCTCTATTATTAATTATGTCCAGATGTACCACGATGCCTTGGTACAGTGTACAAAAAAAAAAAAACAAAACTTTCTCCTGGGGCTAAGGACATAGCAACTCCATCCATCCATATATCAGTCCTGTTTGTTCATTGTATTTGATTCTATTTTTCATATTTCTTGATTACAATAAAAACTTCTAATAAATTCCCTAAATGCTAATTGCAAAAGTTTAACAACACTAATAAGATTCACTCCCTAGGTCCTGGCCTCTTTAAAAGCTCTGTCATGTTTAATTCTACAGTTTATTAACACAAACTTCACAGTGCCACTGTATTACTGTGTGACTCTATTTCAGCAAAACAGTGAGCAGGTCTGAGCAAGTATCTGCAGGGCACACAGGAGAGAGGAATGAGTCGTACCTCGGGTGGCCTCTGCCCGGTCCCTGCAGGCTCCACTGCCCAAAAGGCTGGGAACCTGTTTAAGAACTTTCTCCACCCCTGTCCAACTGTATCCCTGCACGATAGCACAAGGGAACACAGCGAGTGCAAGAAAAGAGCTGGCCACATAGGGAACAAGAGAACACTTCACAATTAGTATCTCAGGAAGAAAACTTTTCTATAGTTCCTAGGTGCTATTTATACCTCAAAGGCAAAAAAAAAAAAATTTTTTTTTTTACTTCTACTGTAAAGCATAAGAACCTAAATTCCATTGCTGTATCCTTACACCTAGACCACGCCTAGTACCTGTGTTAGGTAAATGAATGAAAACAATTGTTACCTATGCAAATTTACGTCTGCGTCCTTTTTTGTCCCAGAAACCCCATTTTTCAGAAGTCTGGCTTCTACATTCAGATACATGACAGGATGTTTTTACACACGCATGTACTACAACACTGTCTGTAGTAGTAATAAACTAGAGAAAATCTTGGCGAAGATAAATTTGCTTCATTAACACTAGACGGTACGCTGTAGACATCTTACACAATACAGGAAAGGTCTTCAGCACAGACAAGAAAAGATGCCCTACAATATATAAGAGTATTATTCATCTTTAAAAGGGAAGGAAATTCTGCCATGTGGATGAACCTTGAAGACATTATGCTGAGTGAAGCAATAAATGTGCGATTTCTCTTATGTGTCCAGAGTATCAAACTCATGGACACAGGAAGCAAAACGGTGACTGTTATAGGGTGAGGGAAGGAGGAATAAAGAATTGCTGTTGAAAAGGTGGAGGGGATTTAGCTCAGTGGTTCCGGAGCCTGACTCGCAAGCGCAAGGCCCTGAGTTCGAAGCCCAGTACCAAAACAAAACTAAAAAAAGGTGGAGGGTTCCTGTTTTGCAAGTGAGACCATCCTGGAGATGGATGCTGAGCAGAGGGGACAGCTGCACGACGCCTCGCGACAGTGGACTGGCTCTTAAAAGCAGCTAAGATGCTAACTTGTATGTTATGTATATTTTACCACAATACAAAAAATAGAGTTAAAGTTGAAAACAAAGAAACAAAAAGAAAACCCCAAAAGACACCAGTTTGGACACCTCATGAAATTCACAGGAGGATTCTACTTGCAAGATGACAGAACAGTCAGTGTAAAAACAGTTTCTGGACAACTAAGAAAGGTAATTTCACCAACTCTGACTTCGCTGAAAAGTAAGACATTTTACAGGAAACAAACTTTTGTGATAAGTGTGACCACAAAGCCTTCACCAAACACTGCGAAGAATGGCAGATGACTCTTTCTCCATAGCTCTTACGTGTCAAAAGGAGGACAGGAAGAGCTTAGAGATAAAGAGCGTGCAGCTGACCGGAGCTGTCCACAGTGCTATAAAGTCAGAGGGAAGAGGACACCACGTGACTGGGGACACTCACTCGTGCAACAACTTCTGATAAGTACTTGTCGTGTGCCAGGCAATACTCTAGGTGCCTGGGATATGTCCATGAAGAAAAATAGCCCATGAGCAGGGCATGGTGGTGCGGCCTTGTAATCCCAGCAATTGGGGAAGCTGAGGCAAACTGACTGCAAGTTTGAGACCAGCTGAGGGGTCTCAAAAAGATGGGGGGACTGAGCTCAGTGTGAAAGTCCTGGGTTCCATCCCTAGTGCTGAACACACACCCACACACACACACCCACACTCACATTAACCCCCAGAATGAGGGACCAAGAGACAAAAAAAAAAAACAAACAAAAAAAGCCTAACAGAATGCAAAAGTACAGAGAAGAGAAACATCGGGAGGCCTGAGAACACCCAGGAGGGCGGGGAGGTACCATTTTAGAGAAGGCGGCCAGTGAGAGGTCTAACGAGGTGACATCTGAGCAGAAGACCCGACGAAGGGTTACATGAGATTGACCGAGGACCAGAGACACGGGCAGACACAGGAAAGCAAGACAAAGGCTTTTATAGTACAGGGGACGGTGCGAGATATATTTAGAAACAGCTAAGCTACAGTTTGGCTGAAGCACTACATTCCGCAAAATAAACTAGGTGCACTGCAGCACATTTGTGTCTATCTGAAAATGTCCACAATAAAAATTTGAAAGCAGTGCTTAAAACAGATAAAATTACTCCTCAAACTCACCCTCGGAGACTTTAATTCAAGCTCTTCTCTTTCACTCTCACTGTTTGAATCAGTATTCTCCTCCAGTTCACTCTTCACTTCCACTAAAGGCATTTCTTGATCTACTTTTACAGCCTCTTCCATGGATTCGTCTAAGTCTTTTTTTTCCACTTTTACTTTTGGTTCATGGTGGTGAATGGTTCTAAATCGAATATTTGCAGAACGGCAGTACTCTTCAAAACCATAGAGATACCTAAGCAAACAATATTTTTTTAGTAAGTCTTGGTCTTTCCATTTAACTTGAATATTATGTTACTGAACACATATGATCTCAAAAAGATAAGAATCTGGGTCATTGTTTCAGAAGTACGTTTTCCACGTTACTAACTTCTGGGTGTCTTGATAGAACTGTACACAGAAATACCAATCAAATGAAAATGCTGAGAAACCTAAGCTCTTTATAACAGAACATAGCTCAGTATTTTTTTCTCTTTTTTTGAGGCAGGGTCTCCCTCTGTAGCCCAGGCTGGCCTCGAACTCATAGGGATCCTCCTGCCTCAGCCTCCAGAGTGCTGGGATTAGAGGCATGGGCCAGCACGCTTGGCAGCTATCACAGTTTGCACTTGAAAATGAGTTGCCCCCAAATAAACTGCTTGATGTTATGTATATTTTAATTTCAGGGTGGAAATAATGCCTACATCTGGAGTTTGGAAAGAAAATCATTGTAACATGAGAAATGGAGTAAAATACACTAGATGCTTTGAAATAACTTTCAATTATAAGCATCTATCTACTAGCCTAACCCTTTTATACACTTCCTCTCACATTTATGCGTCTTAAGAGGGCTACTTCTTGTGTCAGTTAATCCTGATTGTCATCTGGACCCAAGAGGCTCCTGCAGAGGTGAGCAGATTGTGAAGGCATTAACCCATCGGCGGGCTACCTTGAGGTAGCTACCGGACCATCTGGAGGTGGAGCCTGGCCGGAGAGTGGGTACGGCGGGTGACTTTAGACCTACACCTGGCTCCTGGGTGCCCCGAGGGAAGCAGTTGTCCTCTGCCGTGCCCTCCACCCTGGTGCTCCCTCCTGAGACTTTGGAACCATGAGCCAAAATAGACCTCTTCCCTCCTGCCATGTATACCGGCTATTCGTCTCAGCGGTGGGGAAGCCAACCAATACATTTGTTCACTTTTTTACAAATCAAAAGGAAAATGTTTTCTGCAGATATGTATTCTTTAATACATTACATCACTTACTTTCTATAAGCAGTTTTTACATTGTAGGAAGCAGCTGAATTCAAAATCGGAATGCCAAGGTCCATATAAATTTGCTTCCATACAGCACCACTATCGATCTGGAAAGTTAAGTTTCAGTTTGTTAACGTTTGCAAAGGGAAAAATCTCTACACTAATGTTCTACATTCATTAACAAAATGCATCATTATTTAAGGTGCGTACAATAACGCAACATCAGATGAGTAAGTACACTATTCGTCACATACATTTTCAAAGAGCAAAGTTACACTTACATTGTCACATCCACCCTGATGGTAAACCAGTCTGAAAAGTTTGAAGAGATTCAGATCTTTATAGCCCAAAACAGGTGGTTTGTTGATTGGAGTACCTTTTTAATGCCAGAGGGTAAAAATAAAGTATTTATTCATACAGAAAACACAAATGTCAAAAGAAAGCAATCAACTTCCAGCCCTCCTAATTTCATTCAGGGGAGGCACACATTTAAAGAACATTTTGTGATGTAATATAACATAAATATTCTCTATATTCGTTACGCAGCTTTGTGTGTGTGGGTGTCTGGGTGCTATATTTCCACCACTAATAAAATCACCTCTCTGCCAGGGAAGTGGGTGAAACTAACTGAAGCCTTGGGACAGCTGGGTGTGGCTGCGGGTTCAATGATGCACAAACACGCATCATGGCAAGTTCCAGAGTACACAGTTCTAAGTTCCAGAGTGGGGTTCATGCTTTGTGTTAACATAAATGCTAGAGCTATTGGCAATAATCTGAAGGATGATTTTGACAGCCACAGAATGTCTACAGCCAATTTATCTGAAGGTTTTCTAGGACTAATGAATGTCAAGGAGTCTGATGATTTATAATGGTCCTATTTCTTCTACTTCTACAGAAATTCTATCCTAGTCAGGAAGAGATTGAGCGCCCATTATGTCTAATTTGTTGAGACCAAGGACGAGGCTTGTTTACTTGCCATAAATATTTAGTAATAAATGTATATCAGATTCACTTTATAACTGGCTGTTTTCCACTTCCGAAGATATTTTTTGGTTCTATAAGTTCCAGGAAGACTAAGCTTAATTACACCAAAACTGCTTTCATACATCTCTGTACTCAAAATAGACATTAAGTTTTTTTATATTCCAAGTACATAACAATTATCAGATGGAACTGATTCTTGGGCTTTCAATAAAATATGACATACTCATAATATTATCAATACACATTTGTAGACCGTAAAAAAAATGACTATAAAGCTTGAAAATACCTCTGTCTTCCATAAACTTGTAAAGCTGTTGGAGGAAGTTGTCCCTCTCTTCAGGATCAAGTTCTTCCTCAGGCTGCAAAGAGAAAATACATGAAAGTACACCGCAGTACACAGGAAGGCACAGTGCTATCTTCATGCCCACAAACCTAACACGGGATAAAACCTTACTGAAGCTGGGAGATCTAAATTGTCTCACAATCATACAAGGCCAGATTTCTAAAGGTCTTTCCTCTTTTTTCAGGTTCGGGGGAATAACACCCCAATCCCGGGCCTTGCACATGCTAGGCTATTGCTGCCCGGATGAGTTCTGCCTCAGCGGTTTAAGTCACACTTCAACCCAGCAGGTCTGATGCAGCTATGAAGACACAACGTCCATCCTGATTCCGTCCTCACACCGCCTTTCAGGCCACAAGGACAAAGGTCAGGAATGAGGGACAGTGTCGAGCTTTCTTTTTTTTGGGGGGGGGTACCGGGGATCAAACTCAGGACCTTGCGCTTGTGAGGGAGGTGGCAAAACCACTGAGCTAAATCCCTGGCCCTTAATTTTTTTTTTTAAACCATAAAAATAAAATGTGGCGCAAAGAAATGTGGTGGTAGACCAGCACAATATTGACAAAGGTGCTACATAAAAATAATAATGCTGAATGAATGAATACAATCAGAGATTACAACATCATAGTGGTAAAGAGTTATTGTTTGGATGGTACAGTGTTTTACGGAAATTTTGCATGCAATGAAACGAGCCCTGTACCCATCAGCCAGTCTTGTCCTGCGACCCTGCTTTTCTCATTGGCCTTTCTTGGGAGCCCAGACTACTGATTTTGCAACTCCTGACAAAACTCAATGAGAACTATTTTCCGGGGAAGGAAACTAGATTAGGTATTTATTAATTGGGGTGTGTGTGTGGCTAAGGAAAACATTCTTTAAGAAACAACTTTTAGGCCAGGTGAAGTGGCACACGCTTGTAATCTCAGGACTCCGGAGGAGGGCAAGGAAGATTTCTGTGAGTTTGAGGCCAGCCTCACAATGAGTTCAAGGCCAGACTGAACTACATAGCAAGATCCTGTCTCAAATAAAGAAAAATGAAAGAAACAACTTTCCCTAAAGCTATAACTGTACGCACTACCTTTTATTAATTATATAAACCTAATGATCTCTTCTGATACTGTCAAGCTCTTGGCTCTAACCAAAGTGCATTATAGTCTCAATAAAACAGTCTTTTTTCTGCAAGAGCACTTACAAAGTCATATTTGGAAAAATTGTTTAAAATTCAGTAAGCAACATGGAGAAACAAAACACTGATTTTTTTCCCCATATAAACGATCATAGTTTAATATGAGAGCAACGCTCTTTTGTGTTACAAGAATTTACAGTTTTGTCTTCGCAAAGCCATCTTGAAAGCAAAGGCAATTTTCAGGCAATAAATATTGATCGTTCAGTGTCCAGAGGGCAAAAGGCACTTTAAAATTATGTTATCCTTTAAGAATTTTAACAGCTAATAACAGCCAAGATCAATAAGCACATAGTCAATTAAAATATATAATAAAATACCAGGAGGCAATCAAGGAAACGGAGTAAAATGTTTTAGTTATTCTCTATTTTCTTTTTCTCTTAGGACATCCATTCAGAATGATTTCTAACTGAAATACCTCCAGCATTATTAATTACAAAGGAATGTACATCAAAGTTCTGATAAGCCTCAAAAATCAGCAATTTACAAAGTTAGTAATCACTGTCCAGTTAAAAGAGATTACCACTTAACTCTAATCAAGAGACAGCAGTTTTTTTCAACAGGTGAATTTTAAAATCTTGCTTTTGCAAGGTTTTTAAACACCAATGAGTTTACTCATTAAAAAAAGAAAGGAAGGAAGTAAAGAAGGAAGGGGAGAGGAGGAGAGAGAAGGAAAGAGGGAGAAGAGGGAGGGGAGGGA